TAGATAGATAGATAGATAGATAGATAGATAGATAGATAGATAGATAGATAGATAGATAGACGATGGATGGATGGATGGATGGATAAATAGATAGACGATGGATGGATGGATGGATGGATAGATAGATAGATGATGGACGGACGGACAGACAGACGATGGATGGACGGACAGACAGACAGACGATGGATGGATGGATAGATAGATAGATAGATGATGGACGGACGGACAGACAGATGATGGATGGATGGATAGATAGATAGATAGATGATGGACGGACGAACGGACAGACGATGGATGGATGGATAGATAGATAGATAGATGATGGACGGACGGACGGACAGACGTTGGATGGATGGATGGATGGATGGATAGATAGATAGACGATGGATGGCTAGATAGATAGATAGATAGATAGATGATAGACGGACAGATGGATAGATGGATGGATGGATGGATGGATGGATGATAGATAGATAGATAGACGATGGATGGATGGATGGATAGATAGATAGATAGATAGATAGATAGATGATGGATGGATGGACAGACAGACAGACAGACAATGGATGGATAGATAGATAGATAGATAGACGATGAATGGATGGATGGATAGATAGATAGATAGACGATGGATGGATAGATAGATAGATAGATAGATGATGGACGGACAGACAGACAGACAGACGATGGATGGATGGATGGATGGATGGCTAGACAGATAGACAATGGATGGATGGATGGATAGTTAGATAGATAGATAGATAGATAGACGATGGATGGATGGATAGATAGATAGATAGATGATGGACAGACGGACGGACAGACGATGGATAGATAGATAGATAGATAGATAGATAGATAGATAGATAGATAGATAGATAGATAGATGATGGACGGACGGACAGACAGACAATGGATGGATGGATAGATAGATGATGGACGGACGGACAATGGATAGATAGATAGACGATGGATGGATGGATGGATAGATAGATAGATAGATAGATAGATGAGGGAGGAACGGACGGACAGACAATGGATGGATGGATAGATAGATAGATAGATAGATAGATAGA